CGTCGTAGTTATTTAAAATATATCAATTTTCTGTATTGGAAAAGAAATTCGCTCCCCTGTTGGAGTGAGTGATGCCCCGAGATGATTTTCATAAGCGGCTTGTAATGAAGTGCTTTTGCGCATCAAAAGATTTAGAATGGAATAATCGGCAATACAGCTGCCACTTTGCGCAACACGCACTACCAATTACTTTAGAATTAAAGATCGACTACCGCATATTTCAGAGAAGATTTCATTGAACTATATTATAGCTATTATTATCGATGTCACCAAGTAAGTAAGTACTGCATAGCTAACTTTAGCTCCATTATCTAATCTCACACTATTCACATTCATTTCCTTTCCCAGTGAATTTTTTTGAAAAGGAAGACCATAGATTAATTTCTGTGGTATGTATGTGTATGCATGTATGTATGTATGTGTATGCATGTATGTGCGTGTTTGTGTGTGTGTGTGCAGTATGCATGCACGGATAACATGTAGATGTGAGATATGGATATATTCATGAGATGTGATACGATGTGGATGATAGGATATTCGCAGGCATTTCCTCACATACATTTTGGTCCTCAGAAGTATCCGTCCTATTGTGCCTAACGCTGAAAATACTAAGTTTGCCATACTTGTGCTGCTATTTTTATCGATAAGAGGAAGCCATTTCTTTAGTTTCTGTTGGCAGTAATTAACTTTAATTAAATTCAATTTGACATAAATAATTTTGGCATACATTCCTGGACGTCATTTAGATTACCTTCCATCCATCGGTTGCGAATTGTAATGATCATTTTAAATCAAATTCAAATCATATCCGATTAATCATTTATTTGCTTTCGTTTTGAACGTAACAATTAGATATCTCAATGGAACAAACTTAATAATGAAAACAATTATTTATTTTATCATCTCAATTTATAACAAGCTCTTTCAAGTTCCATTTGATTAATTTAAAAATAAAGTTACTCAATGTGAGCTTAAAATTCTTAATACATTCCTGTTTTTATTGATCAGAATTCCTTGAGCTATCTTTAAAGCCTTTACACATGCCACGTCTTCACTTCTAATGCAAGTGACTAATGGAGCGCACCATTTCGATATTAATTTAAAACGACTGAGCGGTAACTGTGACAATTCAGTTACTTTTTTTTGAATACCTTACCGCTTCATTAGTCAGTTTAGTTATTCTCCTTTAAAGATTTCATTGTCTAAAATGCATTTGTCTCTGTCGCCTTCAGTAGCCTTAATGCTAAACATCGTCATGAATTTCGAACAGGTAATATTGGAGATGAGATGAAAGAAGAGGAGAGGAGAGAAAAGAGCATTAGACAGGTGCATGTAAAGACTTAGTGCCGGTAGTTGGAAAGGCGAATGTTTCAGCCTCCCGATTATCGCCACGGCTAATCCTTCAAGGTTCCGTTTATTCTGCACCTAATTCACTCACTAAGCAAATATCTCTTCTACTCCATTCCAGCAAATAAATGACTTACCTTTCCATTTACATCCTGTTTGTAATCCTCACTAGTCTTTTCGGACTTTCATCATTTTGGTTCTACCAGAACAGCTATGCATCGCTTTTGTGACATTTTCCTGCTCATCTTTTTCCAGCTGCATTTTACTTTTCTATCACCCAATTTATCCAGAAAAACTAATTTGCAAAAATCCTTAATTACCACCATTTCAGTAATCGACATTTGCCAGTATAATATCGTTTATTACCTGATTAACTGTTTGCGATCTAATTTGATAGGTGTCCTTTCTTAATCTCTGATCTTATTTAAGTACTTTTAATTTCCTTATCTCGTGATCATTTCACTTTTATTAGCCAATCACTTTCTGCTGCTCCCTTAGCAAACGGTCAATATGAATTGAAATTAGAATTCAACAAATATCAGTTGTCAATCCTTCTTTCTAACTTCTCTTATCGGTTTACAATTCCTTAACAGAATTGTCGTTTATTTGCGCGTTTCCACACTGCAGCTCTCTCATACCAGTAAGAACCAAACCAAATTCGTCCATCTAACCCTGTATTTAAAATAGAAAAATTTCCAAAATCTTCCGGTTTTGGAATCAGCATATCAGTGATAGCACCAAATTCTTTCTTTCAAACTATTTTTTGTTTATGCATCCTACAAGAGAGAATGAGATTCATTCATCTCCGCTATGGATAATTAATTGTTGATGATAGGTTAGTCACATACCGAAATATCAGTAAAGCCTAATCATTGGCATTGCTTAAATTGCGCCTGATCTCGGCGCTTGTGGTTAGTTTTTTCACTGTAAAGCCCATCGGACGGCAATTTAGTGCTCTCAGTGACCTTTCGAATGAAACCGAATTTATTTGCAACAAACAAAATTAAGTAAATAAAAGAATTAATAAATATACATGTCAAGTATTTTGTGGTATATTCCATCATTTAAACCAGGAATACTTTATTAGAAATCGGAATTTCAAGAAATAAAAATGAAAATAGAGAGAAATTGTCACCTTGACGAACCACTATGATATATCATTACTCAATTAGCGGAAAAAGTTCTTTTGTTGTAACGAATGGTCATTTCAAATTTTACAATAAACGGGTCGCTTTGCCAACTCCAAAATTGTTTCTTCACAGAATTGAACTGCTTGTTTTATTGATTTAACAACTTTCTTACATCGTTTAATACTCAAAAAATTGAATTTTCCCGTCATTTTAATTGTCTAAAATATTTTTTTCTAGCAATCTTGGGAATGAAATTAATTAATTGTTCATTTTATATGAAAGTGAGAGGAAATCAGTACTTATATGCCTTAGTATGTTAATTAATTAAGGTGACCGCTTGCCATCAACTGTGATCACCTTGGCGATTGCTATCTGAGGTGAAAGTTTATTCTTTTGATACTTGAATGGTAACCGTCATCTGAAATAAGTTACACATGTGCACTTATATGTGTTATAGTTTAAAAAACTTTGAATCTCTCATCTTCGTTCATGTGTTACTTTTACGTCACCTCTGATCCTTTAATTGTTCAATTTGCTTCAAATAAGTTCTGTCGCGCCTATGCATCTCTCGAGAAGCTTCTCTTCTTTACCTAAAGAGAATTATTCAAATTTCAATTTCCATCGATTTCTTTTTTGATAAAATTGCCACACATCTCCTTTATACTTCCTCATTTCACAACGACAAAAGGGTACGATGTAGTGGGGAGAGAACGGAGGGTGGAATATGTCCCTTTCATTTGGTCAATATATCGCTTCGAAATTAGTCTGAATTTCATTCTCTACCATGCTGAATTATCCCTCTGAATTCCTAACATAATTCCATTAATTGTTATCTTGCCAAGATCAAAACTACTCATATTTCAAAACCTTCTTTGGCTGAATGCTCAATTCACGTGATGGAGATTCGGGAGAAGAGAAGAGCTACTGTATATTTCGAAATATTCAACAATGAAACTAAAATGGGAAAATTGTTATGAAGTCTAAAGTGTTTTGTTCTAATTTCAGCTAGCTCCACCAGACCGGCAGCTTTTGAATATTCTTTCATTACTCATTTGAATCGGATTTATCGGGCTATTGCAACAGCAGACCAAGGAGACAATTCCCGCAGCGATAATGTCGCGCGACATATGGCACATGCCAACGACACCGCCCCAATTTTCCACTTCATTAGAGGACAGAAGAGACAGTGATTCTGAGGCAGCAACGTCATCAGACGAAGATTTCAATAGAGTTTACGAAATTTCAAACTTAACTTTTTTCTTTCTTGGTTATTTGCTTTTCCTTCATATATCAATTTGTTTATCTCTTATTTCCTTAACTTGAATCATGCTCGAAGATCCGACTTATCTCCAGCATAAAACACCCCGCGATCTACATCAAGTATGAATTTCGAAAACAATTTATCATTTAGCTTCTTGAAAAAAATCCTTCATGACGTGTGCTTGCGCCACTCTTAAAGAGATGTTTAAGGGGAATAAATGGATGGTCCTTATGATTTTGTCATTTATTTACATCCTTCTTGTTCATTTTAGTTCTTATCAGCGCTCATAACGACATGTCTGCTTTTGCGCCTTCCTGATATTGAACGAAAGTGAATAATATTTCTGTTGTTATTGGCTATCTATGATTGTTTGTTGTTTGAACAACACTCCTACATCAATTAAATTGTTAGTCTCATTTACTTAGACTATATTTGACATTTTTAAGTCATCGTTGTGATATTGAGAGCATATGTGACATCTGTAGCAGTCATTCATTTATCCATAATGACACAGATGTCAAATTTAAATGTTTGTTTTAATGCCCTTTGGCCATCCTTTCTAGACATCTGACTGTTATGAGAAGCCACTGTTGGACACATGATAGATATATTGTGGAAAATGACCATCAACTTGGCGGCAGCAACACAAACATTCTGTTTGGTGAATCTCACAACAAACCACTTTTGAAATATGATCTTGAAATTCGAATTCCACTTTTTCTTACTTATCTTCCCCAAAACGCGTCTCTTCTCTATTTTATTGCCTTACAAAAATGCATTAAAATTCTGAATTCTATCATTTTTCAAATGAGGTGAACATGCCAGCTTTTGCAATCATTATCATAACAAAGCAGTCGGATAAACATTAAACATAGGTTGTCTTCAACAATTATTTTAAGGCTCTCATGGTCATTTCCTTATCTCGGTCCTGATAGCTTTGAATAGGAATATTTTTTATTTTCATACAGTCCAAACTCACTTCACAACGCTGTCAGTTATGATTCTCTTTTGAAACAAATTATTTTAAAACTAGAACTTTTGATCGAATAAAACAAACAGTTATCCATCTTCTGATGAGCTGTTTTGCCAAAAAAAAGAAAAATTTCAGGCTTTCAAAAAAATTAATTTCATTTAAAGTTTGTTTGGATTATCAGTGTTATGTTGTATTATCATGAAATATTATCAAAAAGTTGTCAGCCGCTGATCATTGCAATAACTATCTCTTTATTATTATTGAAATCGAAATATTTTTTACAGTTATGATGATGACGGTGGTTCAAATGTCATCAAGAAGGATGCTTCCGCTTAGTTTGCTACTTCTCATTGTTGCCATTACCTCTTCACATCAATATTATGATCCGACCACACGAGATTATGTCGAAACATGTGATGAAATGGCTCAGTTAGCTGGCGACAATTTTTGCAGGGTGACATTTTAGGCATAGTTTTACAGAAGAAAAGCTTAATAATTGACTGATGCTTGATTTGCAATTCTTGGTAAACAATTCACCTGTATTTTTTGAGATTTGTCAGGATATAAGGCTAGGTACTTGTACTCAGTATCACGTTAACAACTACATTTAGTATATTCAATAATATGTTTTGCTTCACACTTAGCAACACCCATCCATATGATGCTTATCAATAGATAATTATCAGATCTTTTTTAGGTATTCGATATTTGCTGTCGGGATCGTGCAAAGAATAAATTGAATGGCGATCGATGTCAACTGACTGATCCCACCAATGGATGTCAACTCACTCCTGAGGTATGTATCAGTCATCGTTAACATCATTCTATCTTAGTTCCTTTTCCCCGCATTTGGTAATCTTATTTATGACGCTCATTTGCAGCATACTCAGTGTACCGGAGTGTAAATGTCATGGTGTGAGAGAGCTAATCATCTCTTCATCTTTGATCTTTCTCTTTTTTGATTTTCTCGCTCAGAAACGAGGGATTCTTGAAATTTTCACTGTTTTTAAAAAGATCACTTTAAAAGTTCATCCATCAAATACTGTAACTGATAGATATTTGAATGCCCTAATACGATGATATATCAGTTCATTTCTCTTTTCTCCTCAGTTGAAATTTTTTCAAATGAGGACAATCAGAAATTAACGTACCACTCAATTTCACTTCGAATTTCAAATAGTCTATAATTAGTTGCGAAAATTATATATCCGCGAATTGCCTAATTAAAAAAGTGAATAACGGACAAAGTATTAATTCCATCAATCATATTAAGTGGAAACGGATGACGTATGGTTTGGTGACCCTGTGCGGATTGACGCGGTTGAAATTTTGGTTCAAGCAAACAATGATTTATGGTTTCATTTTCCTCCCCTGCCCTTTTCCTCTCCTATCCTACAGCTAGGGAAATTGTAACAATAATCAAAGATTTCGAAGTGGTTGCAGTAATTTTGAATAAATTTTATATTAATAAATTGTCAATTATGAAACGATACCATAGACTGCAAAGGATCGAGTGTAAAATTGTCACACCATTCGATCCGTCCGTTAAAGTGACCGATTTGCAAATGTATGTCGTGAGATGAGTGATATTCTTCTTGAGGTTTATCAAAGTGACGACTAAACCCATTTAGCCATAAAAAGTAACACGAAATTTTAAAATTTAATTCTGTTCGGATTGCTGTCCCATCGTAAATATTGCCTTATAATACTTATAATACATCATGAAAAATTGAATTTCTGAAACCGTTAACTCTCAATTTTAACCTTCAACGATGACATTTGACATGACCACTAGACATGTGTAACAATCGGTGATAAGAAACTTTGCATCTGTGGTTATGCCCAAGAATAGCCCTAAAAGTGAATTAATGAGGTAAGGCAGCTTGAGTGTCCTTGGTTGGTCAGTTCAACAAGAAACGAGTCCTTTCCAAATTATTATTCCAAACAAGTTCTTAACACCAGGAACAAAAGAAACGAATGCATCCCATCATCGGGACTTCAAAAATATTTATTCCTCAGACGGCCGACTGAAGAAAATTTCTTTCCACACTATTTCCTTCTACTATAGTCTGCACCTCTCTACCTCGGTGTGATGAGCAAAAAGGAAAATGATATCGCTACAATAAGGGACGTATCTGAGGTTTTATTTGTCAACAGACTTCTGGTTAACCTATTTATCTGAAGAAACGATATCATTTACATCATTTTTATCATCTTTGGTCGGCAGCCAATATTTATCAAACTAGTCTAAACTAGATAGAAAGTTTAAACTTTGCAGGGTAATGTGAAGTTTCTACGATGTCGTGCTTATAATTGTACTCCCGAAGTGACAACCACCACAACAACCACAACAACCACAGCACGTGCACTTTTTCTGAGTTCGTCATCAACATGTAAGATTCCTATTTTTTTCTGATATATTTTTACATATAGGACAGGTCTTATTGTGTAAATTCTTGAATATTAGTCTATTGAGGGGAGATTGTGTTAAAGTTTTGGAATTGTCGCTTTTATCTAAACGTTCGAACTCACGATAGGGCCTGGAAAACCGACAAAATGAGAGTGAGTCATCATCCCATTTCAGTTTCAATGTACCAACGATTGATGCTTATACTTTGAATTGTTAGAATGAACTAACTGATAACAGTAAATGAACATTGTGATTTTATCACTTCTTCACCTTAGAATAGTAATTGGGACATCTTTAGGCTGTTCCAAAACTTAATCAAGTCGGTGACATTTTTGTTTTTTGAATCTACGCATGGAAAATCATTGATTTCTCTCATTCATCTTTCTCTTTTCTACACATCGTCTTTTAAAAGGAATTGGAATTTTAATGATCTCTGACGCTTTTTTGTACAATGAGACATTTAATCAGCCAATTCTGTAAAAACATTTCTAGAAGTGATGCATATCAAGTTATCTAATGCCTCATCAAAGTGCTAGTTATTTATAAGGGTGTCAGGAAGTAAGAGATGAATAGTGGTTTAACTCTCTTAAAACAATTCTTCAATTACTGCTTTTTCGCGATAACTTGGCGAGCTATTCGACCGACGAGAAAATGTTGTGCTAACATTATTGAGTGAATAATTAATTCTGCTTTGCAGTTCCTTTCCATCACGAAAAGAATGAATTGAGCGAGGAGAATGAGTTTAGCTTCAGTTTCACATCCATTTTAAAAGTCATCAAATGTATGCTATACTTGTAAAGGCGCAGAGTGATGCATAAATCATTTGAGCGTGAAATAAGGGAAGAAAGAAGACACCTTATTATATCAGAAGATAACGATGCCGTGGGTGCTGTCACTGACACGACGCAATCTTTTGTAGACAATTTCGTCGATTAATCCTTCTCAGCTGCTACCATAGCGAGTCATGCAAAGGGGATAGTGTCATTGAGGGATTTTCTAAAATTGATTCTTCGATCTCATTTGGAATTCTTACATTGCAGGTATCAAGGCAGGTGCATTTATTACCGTAGTCGCACTTGCAGCAGCTTTTCAACTCAGCTTCAGGCAATATTGTCATTAGATAATGTCCGCTCAACATTTTGGTAAGTTCTTTCCTTATGCTTCTTTAAGATAAGCTTCTTCTGCTCTAATTGCATCATCCTCAACTATATAAGGGCAAGGGGTAAAAAGGTATAGTCAGATGACTGTCAACCTGACATTTCTAATATTCTCATTAAACATTTCAATCCAATTATGAAATATTTTTGATTTCCTCTCATTTTATGAAGCTTTACGAACTTATTAAACTTTCTCAAAAAGATTTAATCACTATACTTTATCGGTAGAAGAGATAATTTTTAGGATTCGGTTCTGAAAAGTATTATGAGTATATGGGAAACAATATCCGATTATTTGGATCGACATCTCATAATAATTAAATTATGAAAACAACACCAAAATAGTGCTTTCATCCGTTCAGATAAATTTAGAATGGAATGTTCCAATTACTCATAAAAACTTTTTATCACTTGTCTCTCATTCGTCTCATTCGAGATATTCAACAATTTTGAATCGATCTAGACTAATAAATAACTTGACTGCCATAATCCCTTCCACCAGAAATTATCCATTATGTCTTTTTTTAAAAAAATGCAAATAGCAAAAACTACCTAATATAACACACCTAAACCGGAAGCCATCATAATAATTAAGGAGCATAAATTTTAGAGGCGGGGATTTAATTTTACATTAATTACTCTTTCATCCTCACTCTTCTATAGTGAACAACACATTCGATAAATATTGCATCTTATTTTAAAACTGTTTCAAAAAATTAAATAAAAGTTAGGTCAGTGACTAAGCGTACTTCGCAAGATCATTAATACATAGCAGTATCATTTATATTTTCAAAAATCGATCCGTCTTTTGATAACAAATGATGTATCCTAAGTAACTCTCACTAATCTCTTTCACAATTTTCAAGTTACTTATTTGTAAACGCATACGCAAATGATCGAAAGTGATTTTTGTCTGGTTATTTAAATTTGAAGTGATATTAAATTTTGGCTTAACGAAGTGATGGATGTAATTTAGTTAGAGATAAGGAAATTAAAATAATCTGAAACTCATCAATCTTTCGGCGCTAATCAATTCAAAATTAACATGTTTATCTTTTAAGGAACCATTCTAAGCACATATACGGTGACCACTGGTCAAATGTGGTGCTACAACCTCCACAATCCGTTCAATAAAACCTCAAACTTTTTCAAATTGTTCAATCCTATAATGCTTCATTTTGTTTCCCTCTTCCCCGTTATGTTCCTTTTTTTGTAATATTCCATGCCATTCGTTAATATCTGTTCAGAAGCATAGAAAGTGTTGGTGAATTATGCTTTGATATTGTTGTTGTTCAATCTTATTATTTATTTGTTGTGGAACAGTAACATTGCCAGATATTTCAAGTTATTGATTTTGTTGGTAAGGGTCATATAAGGGTCATACAGTCAGTCTTATCGATGCAACAAATAACTCTTGTCAGTTTTTCTACTGAAATCTACTTTTTGATCGCTGTCGCTGTATTCATATAATTGCACTTTTATTGGAGAAAGAAACAGCGATATCAGAAGGATGAAAGAATGAAGTTGATGTTATCAATATGCGATCACATTGCAACTGCTTTTTTCATCATAAATTAATTTAGAATATCGCATTTCTAAAGTGATATTTTACCAGAAATGCTTAGATTTCTTAGAGCGGAAAATATTAGGTGAAATGTAGCATTACATTACAGCGATTATCAGAAGCATATGAAATTGCCGTGATTCTAGGATATCACAGTTGTCATATTTTTTTGAAATTCATTAAATTCTACTTACATTCGTGATATATTGGTTTCTATCATTGTTAATGAAATGCTTTCATCTGTTTCTTCATTTAAACTTACTTTAATGTGTCTTTTTACAATTCTTCCTTCATAATATGCGTATCTCATGCGATGTTTCTAACGGTTTCGTAAAAGGATATCACTTGCGCCTTGATGGTTTTCCTCTAATAAAAGTTACTAGCAGTTTATGTTTCTAACATCAAATTTTTATAATCAAAGCTTGCTTCTCTTTTCTACTCTTCTCATTCCGTTTTCAATTTCTACCTTCACAATTCTCAACCTATCTCGGACATTACATTGGATTTGCGGGACTTTCACTTTTTTTGTGTTTTTAATTATAACTGATTATTACTATAATAATTAGTTATAATTATTTCATTTATAATTAATTGTAACTGAATGTTACATAACATTTGCATTAGTCTCATCTTTTAGTTTGTTAAATTTCAATTTACTTTCTCGTTTTAGGCACCTTGGCCACTAGATTAGAAAGAAAAAGAACAAAGTAGCTGTTGTCAATCCTGGTAGTATAGTGGAATAAATGAGAAAAGACTGTTATCATTAGCCTCGTCCTAAAAAAAAAGCTAAATTACAGAGCAACTATTGTTATCTGATATTAATGCCAGCTACAAAGCCACTAAACTAAGTAAAAGACGAGATGGGTACAAATAAAAAACGACTGAAAGATCACAAGCGTTACCGGGGATTCTACTACGAAAATTAGCTTAGATTACAGCTATTTCTACTTTCCTATTTTCCTGGAGAATTAGGGAGGATTATTCGGAAAGATCAGCTACTTTATTCTTTCCAAGTGAGCAAAATATAAGTTGTATTTGTTTTTGAAAATTGTTAGAAATAACAGGCTCTGAACAAATAATGATAACTGCATCCAAAGAAATTGCCCTGTAATCATTTGTTTGTTAAGAAATTTATTTATTATCCCTTATGATCACACTGTTCACTGAAAGATTCCCTTTTAAAGCCTAAAGCTATATATTAAAATATGTATATCAACAAAGGCTTTCTGATTCGTAGTTTCATACTTCGGATCCTTTATCAAACACGACTTAAAGACAATAAATTGACAGATCCTTTATCAAACACTACGACATCACTGGGATCTATCCGTAAGCGCAGAAGTTCGTCTTGTGCACCTGAAATGTTGCAGCTCAGTCTTATTTTGGTTGTAATCTTTAATCTCAAATATACCGAAAAAGGAATTTATCAATAACACCTCATCCACAAATTCGAGCACATTAAAAGTGCTGGTGGCTAGAAGAGACAACAACCTGTCAGAAAAGATTTTATTGCATCGAGCAATTTGAAGACAACTTTATTTTGATGTGCTACCAATGGACTGTAAGTATTAAAAGGAAACTGTGTTTATTCCCCTCCTCACATATAAATTAATTGGAGCCATCTGCACTTTCCTACAGAAGCAAAAACTTGAGTTCATTCCAACAGGTGTATATTTGGAGTCATTGCAAGAAAAGGAAGAAAGATTTCAAAGCAGATAACGCCGAATAAATCTTGCAGAGGAATTAAAAAATAAGTTATTTAATTACACTATATTTTTCCTTTAAGAATGCTTTTTCGCCCCTTTACTCTCAGCTCGAAATGAATGTCGCACCCTGTCATCATTCCTGAATTCGATTCCCTTTTTTACACCTGAAAATCAATGATCGAAGGTCTAACTGGTGATGCAATAACTATCAACAGTGATCACATTCTTATCCTTCCGATTATATTTTTCTCACCAAATTGAAAATACAATTTCCCAAGATAAACTGAAATACTGTAGTTATTTATCCAATCACATCAAAACGTCTACTTTTGCTCCATATGAGTGTCCTGACTTCTGTGGAAACTCGCCATACATTAACAACACGAGTGGAGGTTGTCGAAGATCCGAAATAATTTCTAACAAATAAGCCGAAGTAATTTATAACGAATATGTCGAAATAATGAAAATAATTTGTGTTGCAGAAATATTTCTCATCTAAGTGATTCATCACACAAATTGTAATTTAATGAATACTATAATATTTAGCTAATTCTCATCCTTTTTTTAATTACCCATGTTAAATTACCGAAAAAAAAATTAATTCACATGCAAATGTTTCGGGTCTGATAACAAATCGTATTTAAATCGTTATGTTGTAATCAGATCCGCTTTACACCGCTTTTCTTTTTTTATTTTTACGTATCTTGTATCCAATAGGATTTTATCAAAATGTTTGTTATAAATCATTTTCCACTTTCTACCTCTATCTCCCTCTCTCTCTCTCTCTCTATATATATATATATATATATATATATTAGTGGAAAAGGAAAAAGGATAAGTGCTTCGACTTCAATGTTACATTCTGTTACATCATACTCACCAATAAAAGTATCACCAAGTGTTTTACACACCTCTATTATCTACATCTACACTATTCACTTTGGACTACTACTTCAACAAATAACCCCAGAGCATATTCTCTCGGAATAATGAGTAAAGAAAATCCCCAGAGTGACCGACTCTATTATTGATAAATCACTCGCAATTGCCCTATAGCGTCCAAAGAAAAAACCTTTCCTGAAGAAGAAATTAACCCACACCAATCATCCGACTGTGCCAACCCAAAGCTCTCCCAAAACAAAAATTCAAAACACATTTCTTATGCCACTAGCCGGGAAATTTCTACCATTATAATCAAGGTGTGCAACTGACAAATGAAAAATTAGAAAGAAGTCCAAAGGGATGGATCTGTTAGAAGAAACCCGTCAACAATATTTGCGGCCAGAAAAAAAATTGTCAAAGAAAAAATAATGCATCTCGAAGTGCACTTCGGCACTCTAGAAAAGTCAACGCAAATTTCTACAATATATTCAACAAGTCTCAGTCGACGAAGAAAAAGGTTAAATTTAATTAGTGTAGAGAAAGAAGTTGAATTTGTTTCAACTACCATTGCCTATATTCAATAGTAATCCAACTTATGGAGAGGATTCCGGAATAATTTTGATGCTGCAGTGAAAATAAATTACCAGTCTGGATTTTTATCAACAAAAGGAAGAATCATAATCGGTCACTAAACTCAGACAATTCTGTGAAAATTAGTTCAAAGAAATGCAGAAGTAGCGAGAAGCTAATCCTTCAGTGTTGGAAAAGAGCAGAATCCGAAATCATATTTACGATAGGCTAAAAAAGAAACTTCGGTTTGAGCTATAACTATACCAGAGGCATATAAATTTATATGAATTCAAAAAAGATTAGTAAGATAAGAAGACTCTTGCTTTTCACTGAGATAATAAATGTTTAACTTATTCTATTTTTGAGTAAAGAATGGAAGGACTGAGGGAAAATGATGCTTCCTTAGATTAAGGATTACTGAATTCAAAGGAGGAGTAGCAAGTTTGGAATTGAGAGAATTGTTACAGAATTACAGGTCCTGACTCAAAAACAAGAAACAATTAATCCGATTTCTCATCAACGAAGGACTGAACTTCTTTGACAAGAAATCAATTAATAAGAAAAACTGACAAAAAATTGGAAAACGAATTCGGTAAAATTACTAACTTGCAGAATTTACTATGCATTCAAAATTAATTACTATTCGTAGAAAATTAATTCGCTAATCATTTTTCTCGGTTGTATTGATTGCTATTAAATTTAAATTCGAATAAATTCAATCAATTTTTCATTCATTCTGTATTAAGAATTCAAACCAAAGATAAATCAGTCATTATTCCCATGGAATTATTGCAAACTCCTTCAATAGACAGAAAGAGACAAAAATTATCTATCAAACAAAACAGTTTTCACCATAAACCTCAAACTCTTCCTTCCGATAGATCCAGTTTTCTTCAATCAGAATGTGGAAATAAAAGTATCACGAAGTGTTTTGATCTTATACGACACTACTATTATCTACATCTAAGCAATTCGGCTCCTAAAAAAATTAACTCGAAAATTCATAACAGGGCCAAATGACATGATTGCATATCCGAAGAATCTAATTCAAACTAATGGTGAGTTCAAGCACGAACATTCGATGAATCAATAGAAAAAAATTTTATACATTTGATTTTCGATTTGAAAGATGAAAACGTAGACATTGAGATGGCAGAAAAATGTCGCTATTTCTCAGCAAATGAAAATAATTTTTCCTGGAATTACTTTGTAATATCTGTGAAGCTGCTATACTGTTCGAAAAGAGTATATGGTGAACTAGATTAGTTTCAATTCCCAGTAATAAAAAATTTAGTATTCATCCACTAACGAATGGTGTATATTTCAAGCAAAGTTAACGCTTTTGGAAATCAGGAGTTATAAAAGATAGGATAGAAATTCCATTCACAATTCCAGCATGAAAATTAATTTGTTGAGAAGAAGCTACCAAGTCCAAGAAGATATTCAACAGTTTTAAAATCCTCTAAAAAACTTCCTCTAAAAAAAGAGAAAATCATAACAATTTAGGAGTGTACAATTTCCGCAGCCACTTTTCATTGAGAAACATCATATTTCACCCTCTCTCGTTATTTACAACAACAAATATATAAAGTTTCGAAGTCACGATTGACAGAGCACGTAAGAAGGCGATCATTTGATATACTTCTCCATAAACTTCTTATGAAATTCAGAACGAATGGCATCATTAATAAAAATCTGTTCCTTTTTGCGCTCTTCGATGCCCTTCGCACAGTTCTTGAAAACTACGTCATCATCCCACCGCCGTTTCACCTTAATTACTATATGCAAAAAATGAAAAAAGTAGAAACATTACAAAAATTTGGAAACACATGTGATGTTAAGCATAATGTTGGAAATGACTAGAATTACATTATCGAAATACGGCTGCATCCAGCATGCAACACAAAAAAAGCTACATTGAATGATCGAATCATTCTAGAACTCCTTTAATGCAAGAAGCTACTAGTCATAAAAGACATAACTTTTTTTTGTGATAATATCGATATATAAGATCTACGCTTTTCATAAGATTCTCATAGCTCAGTGGCAGCCCTACTTCTATATCGTTATCATAACTTGCAGTCTATTATGTCTCATTGTTGATAAATGTACCTTGAAATCTGATGCCTCAGAATTGAGTAGTGGGTTTCCGTGTAGAATGTTTTCGGTCCTGATCCGTTCCTGCAAAATATAAATCCGTATTCAAGAATCGTATCTGAGAAGCTAACTTCTGCTTTTTCCATGACGCAAAATCATGGTGTTCTTTTATTAGTACCATACCATCCATAACCACAAGCTATTTCCTATTTGCATATGAATAGGAGGAAAAGAAATACGAATTATAGTTAAGGACCTAAAGCATTTTACCTGTTCTTCAGCTAATGACGCATCACGTTGAGCCTTTTCCAGTGCTCGCTCCTTCTTAATTCTAGATAATTCAGCCATCAATTCCGCGGCATCATCTTCATCTTCATCCGAATCCTGCAATCAACATACATGACAATATCAGGAACTGTTCAGAGAACCAAAATCCCTTCTAATAAATTAGGAATAAGATAAGGCACAAATGTAGCTCATCATGCCTAACAGTGAAAATCAGAGAAAGTGATAAATATACGTCATTGATGTCATCATCATAAGGATCATCCTCGTCCTGAACATTTGGTGCTGAGCCCCCTTCCAATCTTGGTTTTTTTTGCATATTCCAACCACTTTCTCGGCTTCTTCGTTCACGTCCTACATTTTTCTCTTTTTCTTCCAATTCGCGACGCAAATCCTATAAAAACAACAAGTAATCCTGACAGTGAATCGCCGGGTTAGGAAAGTATCTTGCCAGCCGTAAGTATGGCGTACAACGAGCAATAATAAAGTATAAAGTCTACTTATATCCAAGCAATAGCTTCCCTTTAAGCTTGAAAAATCTAAAATTTCAATTGAAATGAACCTACTTTTTATACAAACAGTCCGCCTCCTTTCCCTTCCTCTATTCTAAATGACCTTATCAATATAATGCCAATATCTTGATCCCTATGAAGTCCATGAGATCCTTACCCGCGACTTCATATCCTCTACATGGCCTTGTCCCTTTTGACGATATTTAAGTTTCGTGTGCGATGGCATGTCTTTGCTTGAATATTGCTGTGACAGCTTCGAAAGATCGCCCTCATTTCTGCCAGACCCACCACGTGCCGGTTCAAAAGTTGGCCGATGTGCAGTTGTCATTACGATAACCTAAAACAAAAAAATTCATATAATAGCTCTGTGTAATGGTGAAGATGTCATATGATCATGCAATGTAATCATGGCAATTATACATGTGCCTGGATTGTCACGCACCATTATACTACTGCACACGAGTGAAGATAATGTTAAAATGTTACTGAAAGGAACACTTCTTCAATCGGAGTGTTCTGCTATCAGTAATCTAAAACTGAGCCCAGTTACACAGGTAACCCCTCCTTCCCCACTACCTTATTTCTCAAAATCGTACTACCTCAATTCCAAACCATGTGTCAATTTTCACGGCTGGCCGACATCTACTCAAGGATGACATGGCTCATCTCACATAGAATACGGCCGAGGTTGGTACCGCGGCTGCGATACATGATATTATGTCACTCCATTGGCGATATTTCCTCAATTTGTCTAAATCTTCGAGAAACGTAGATCGCGGTAACTTAAGACTTCGCACATTGGTCTCAGTTGCATACAATTTTTACGTTCTTCGCTCACTTCATTGTTGATATTTTACCTCTCTCAACTCTTTTTGTGTAAAAAGCAACAGTTCTTATTATGAATACTTTATATGCTATCTTGATCACACTACATGAAACTTCTTTCGCTTTTTCTGCATCTTTATTAATCAATTACTCACTTTTTTAGCAAATTTTTATACATTTGATGCAGTCGAGAAATAGAGAAGATTTGTTAATCCCTTTGAGTATCGTTCATCAGTTTCTATAAATATTGTTGGCCTTCAGGTCGATGAAATTGATGAAGTGTAGATCTGTTTGCAACTTAACTGTTCCTGATCTTTTTTTAATGCACTTTATTACTAGTTTGTCGAACATGGCATTTTTACAATACCCGCTATCCTCTATAACTCTAATTTTTTTGAGGGAAAGATGGCAACAGGTGGGGTGGGAGTGTTTTTTAATTATGTTCTTTGGATAAACAAGGAGGAAATTTGATATGATCATGTGGTGTCGTAATTTCAGTTACCTGCCTCCAAATATACTGAATATAGATTTCATTCTATATACCTCAGATGTCTATGATCCCACTGGGATCATGGTACGTGCTCGTTTTATTCTCCTAACTCTCTTCGCCCAAAAACTTGTCCTGCACAGTGACCACCATTCGGATTCTGTAGATTTTTAGGAGTGAAGGAAGCAGAAGGTAACGTAAGATTCCGTGGTCGCACAAAAAAAAGTACTTGGATATCATCGATAACAACTTCAAGGCAGTTCGAGAAATTCAGGAGGTAAGGTGCTGGGTAAATAACTTGGCGCTACTGGTATAGTAGTATAATTTTTTAATTGACTAGTTTCACTTCTCCAACGTTCGAAGATATTTTGTAAGCATTTTTTTATTGTTGACATTCCTCTCGATGGTTGAAATGATCTTTCATTGTAAGGAAAAGTGGGGAAAAAAGTTGGAGAGTGTAAAATAGGAGTAAGATATCTTTTTCTTTTATCCAGTAATGGAGAAAAATGCTTAATTCAAAATAAGAATAAGGATATGATGGGATTCATAGTGGTAGGAGATGATATTCCTTTTTTTACATTTTTCTTTATTTCTAGAATTAATCGGATATATTACATAATTCTTGCACTTCGCTGTAGTTTGTTTAGTTTTTATAATATTATTTTTGATTTTTCAGGGAAAGTTGCTTTGAGGAACGAATTCTTGTCCGTTTTCTGCCTTGCTTACTGAGCTTGTTCCAAATCATTTTCGAATTCCTCTTATCAAATTTATAATGCTTCGAGACACGCTTTTGATATTCAGCTATATTATTCAGTAGTGATGTGCTCCACATACCGAAAATGAACATTAATAAAGGTTTGTTTAATCTATGGGAGATCTTCCTTATCAGTCTAAGAATCGCTTGAGTCAATTTGCTGATTTATTGAACCATTTCCAAGGTTCTTTGGTTCACTCATCCCTTATCTTGCATATGCATATCCATTATAAAACTTTGCTATTTGGTTGTGATATTTTATGTAAGGGTATTTTGCAGTGGTCAAAAGTACCGTAATTCCTTAAAGAATTATCAAATTCTAACTTGTTTTATTGATCGTAATTTTAAGCAATAGTTTTTGAATTCGTAATAACTTGTTATTATGCAAATGAATGGAGAAAGGAATGGAGGCGAAGGATGACAACTTTATGCTGATTGATATTTAAATGAAAAGGTATACTTTTTGTTTTGTGAGAATAGTGTGTTATAGATCATTTTCTTGGACTGCATTCAAACTACAAATTATCAAATTCAAACATTCAAACTACAAATTATCAAAGATATATGCACGTGTCTTCATTAATTTAACTTCGTTCTGCGATGTTTTTCAATATGCAAGTAGTAAAACATTTAAATGATCACGAAATCAGTCCAGATCAGAGATCTGCATAGCAGATAGTGATATTATTAAGCTCCTTTAAAGCAAAAGAAGGAGAAAAAGTGATGTAGTGAGGATCGTGTAGGTGTAATAATATGAGCTTATTTTAATGTCATAATTTGCTTTCAGTATTCTGAAGACGAGTTGTGTTATTATATTTGCGATAGCATTTACGACTTTATTCGTCTTTGTCAATAAGTTTTGAGTGATAATATCGAATTTCATGGCAACTCTTTCAAAATTTTTACGAAAGAAGTTACTTTTGATTTATTTTGCTTTAAATATCGAAGGGATTAAAATGGTGTATCTGCTTAATAACATAATCTTTTCAGCTAATTTAATTTCGATATTGATTAATGTTAAAGGCAGGATGTATTTGCTTTATATAAGGACTTCTGATGTAATATATTTGCAAAATACCCAACTTTCAGATCGATAAAATTGTAGGAAGCAGCGTTATTTTGCAGAACAAGTAAAGAAAATTTATGGCATTTCCGTTCTGTTTTCAGTTTGATAATTTTAAATTGGAGAAAAATGAATTCGACCGCTTTGTTACTGAGATGGCTCTTTTCGAAGCATTCAACTAATAATATTCGTTTGTCTTCTTGTTATTCGTTTGGTTTAGGTTTCATTTATCTTGTTATTATGAATAATCTGCCTGCGAGGACCACCGATAACAAATTTGTCGTCTGGATTCTACGATGAATGAACTTTCGGGTTGAGAAATTGTACGGCAATAGTGTTATTTACAGAACATTTTAGTCAGTGAAATGAAGTCAGCAAAATGATGATTTAAAAAGCCTCTTGATGATGTAGGAGGAACTAATCATCTTGTGGTCATTTCTTATGAAGTTATTAGATTATGTCGTCACTATTAGATATTGAATTCGTCTGTGGAATCGTTTTCTTGATTAATATGAAAATCTATTTCGTATAAAATCTCTGTCACCGACGGAAACAAACAAAATTAGATTACTTACAACATTATTATGGGCACTTTGCTTTAACAGACTGCTGTAATATTAAAAGAATGAAAATTACTTATTGATAAGCATAGTTCTTGGTAACATATGCTTCCGTTTTCGAAGCATGAGGCCAATGTGCAAATAAGATTTAGTGATTCTATGTATTGCAGGTATACCTATATTTCTGTATACAGTTCTTAATGGTCAGCCATTTTTTCATGATTAAGTTGTAAATTCCCATAGGTCTGATCTTTATCAGTTCTGCAGTCTCTCATTAAGATATGTGTTGCTCTTTATATGGCTACTTATATTTTCAGGACAATGTATAACTTGCTTGGATAATTATCCCTAATGTACTTTCAGTTGTAAATCAGTTTCTGATCTCGTTTATTAGTTCCACATTTGGTTTATTTAACTATTGTTTGTGAAGAATATTGTCCAGCCATTCAAACTTTTTAGTAACGTGCGTTCATAGCAAGCAGCAACAATACATAACCAATGATAATATCTTTTCAGAAAAATGTCTAAGGCAGACGAAGGACGTCTGATACATATCGCGAAGAAACGTGAACGTGCTAAAGAAGCTATCGAGCAAAGACGACGGAAACTGGAAGAAGAGACAAAAAATCGTAAGGCCTTTGTTAGCTAAATACTTAACAGACAGCTTGTGAGTGGCACCGATTTGATGTAAGGTAAAGAGAATTCTGATTATTTCTCCATTTATGCTTCTCATTTCAGTGAAATCAGGCATCACGACAAAATTCACCGCGAATTACGATGCTATAGAAGATTCTCTTAAAACTAGCACTGTAGGTCTAGTAACGCTGGATGAAATGCGAGAAAAACAGCGAGATGTTGTTGAAGCAAGGTTCTGCCATTTGCTAATAGATTACTCAGAACCTTACTCGTCCATATGAAATTATTTCCAAAATTTGAATATACGGTAGAAACAGCTTAAATAAAGCTAGTGAATTGGAGGAAACATTTTGAAGACTGAACGAACAGGATGGGATGACGATCACTATTTTGATCATAGATCAAGATAGTACTCATCCATGACAATAAGTGCAACGAGCTTGGCTATTAGCTATGAATTTGATTGGATACTTTAATTCTTCTGCAGGGAGTTGCAAAGAGCAATTGAAGGGAATTCGAAGGAAGGTGTCAGAACTGCGACTAGCGATAGCAAAATCTGTCAAGTAAGTCCTAATGTCATGTCCATAGCATCACTACTTTTCCTCACGATAATTTAGTAAAAAATAATGATCATAATACACTTATCATCATTATTTACGCTCGCGATCACAATTTATTGAACAATAATAATTTATTTAGGGGTTGCATTTTTATACGCCCATACATACACTTAATTCCACTTTATTATGTTCACTTTTTAGATAGTCTGACGTCAAAAAGTCTTTGTAGATGAGATCTCCTTTACCATATCTCAAGCATCTTCTCATTATAGGGCATATGACTGCACTATCATCACTCTATACTTGGATTTGAATGACCTTCCTGTGCATCCATCCGGTTCTGTCAGTTTTTCTCTCACGACATGCAAGTTTTATGGATAAGATAATTTCAGAAACGAGTGCTTTCTTTTGCATACGATGATGAAGACGAAGACGGCGCAGCGTCTATACCATTAGAGAAAAAAGTAAGCGTTTCGATACTTATAAAATTGCTTGCAGAAGTATAAAACCGTACAGATGGAAGTGTAGTCAATCTAATTTCAGCGAGTAGGTATGGATCCAACGGTGGAGACAGCATTTCTTCCAGATCGTAATCGAGAAAAGGAATTGGCTAGGTTAGTATGTATTTCCTTCATCTGCTTTCTTGATGAATGATTTTCAGGTATTAAAGATTGAAGGAATTTATTAAAGGTTGAAGGAAGATCTTGCAAAAGAGTGGCAGGCGTTGCAAGAGAAAGAAAAAAACGAAGAGATCAACATTGCATTCGTATATTGGGATGGCTCCAGTCACCGGAAGGACTTGAAAATGAAAAAGGGAAATACTATCTCACAGTTTCTTGTCCGAGCACTTGAAGTAATCTTTGATGCATTTTGCTACTTTCTTACTATCTATAAGGACAAAAACACTGCAATTCGTCGGTCCAACCATACTTTTGCAGTTGCTGAAAAAGGAATTCAGTGAAACGCGGGCAGCTGTACCGGAAAGTTTGATGTTTGTTAAAGAGGACCTCATCATACCTCATTTCTATACGTTAGTTCTTTTTTATTTGATACTTCCAACCAAAAATTCAATTATTAGAACAGAATCTAAATCTGATCTTGTTGCTGCCCCCATTTCTGTGATTTGACAGCTGCACGTCGCATATTTTTGTTATATAATATTAAGAAAGCAGTATAATGCTATACTCAGTTGTTACGTCGCTGCAATATTTTGAACAGAATCATTTGAGGTTTCAAGATTTCATTGTGACGAAAGCAATGGGAAAAACCGGTCCGTTATATGAATTTGATGCAGCGGGAGAAATACGACTAAGACAGGATGCCGCTGTAGATTGTGGCGAATCTCATCCAGCCAAGGTATTGTCAAACTTCAGAATAGAGTGCGGGTAAAGTGCCAGTTATCACTAGTGACCTATTCGGGTTTTCTCACTATGCAGATCAACAAAAAATTGAATGATAATTTCAAAACGCTATATGAGCATTGAAAATGTGCATAACGACTTATTCAGCGATATAAGCTACCAAACTATACAGGAAAAAAAGTTGAGGTGATACTAGCTCCATTAATATAGCGTTGGTTGTAATGTGTATTCCATTCGATGTGGTTTTGGAAAAAAAATATGAAAAGATCATTGATAAAAAGATAAGAAGGGAATAAAAAAGTTTCAGATAGCGTGACAAGAAAGCCTAATACGTCGAATTATTTTTTTCAGGTTGTACTACGAAGTTGGTACGAAAAGAATAAGCATATATACCCCGCATCTCGATGGGAAGCTTTTGTACCTAACAAAGAATACAGACGAACAATTGACGATCTCACCACCATTTGAACAGTTAAAATAAATCTGGTAGTAATTCCGTGTTTACACTATAACAAGCAATATTTAATAAGTATTCTTGACAAGAATTACTATTATTTTTACATCTGGCGCTATGGATACCCGTCGCAAGTTACTATTGTAAAGTTCATTAGGAGAGATGAGAAGCAGGCTCTAGTAAAAAGAAAAAACTTTATTATCAGCAGAGAAAACCGCATAATTCATGCTTGCACATGAATATTCCCTTTTACTAGTTTTTATCGTCTGGTTTTGCAACATTCTCACTCTTTAACAGGATCTATCACGGCCTAACATCTATCTAGCAAGACCACATGTAAATTACGAATATACAAAAGAGAAAAAAAGAATGAAAGTCTTCTCATCGTTGTAGAGAAAGCCCTTTAAGTTGTTCGATACAGATATCCATATACTTTTCCTTAATGTTTTCTTTATTAGCCATTATCTCCGACTGGACCTGCAACTTGTTTATTGATTCACAGTGATGCTTCGGGAGAACAGGACCAATAGTTGCGGTGTTACAGTATTTTATCCTCAAACATAATCAAAAAGTGCATTAAATAGGACAGTCTGAAACCAGAACTCACGGAATTGATGATCCATTTTAATATATGGTCACGAGCGAAACTATGTCTCACAGCTTCCGTTTCTTGTAAATAATCAAGTCGACGTTTTACTTCAGTAGCCAATTTCTTCACATTTTCCCGATAAGTTGATTCTAATTGAAGGGCTAAATTCTCTTTAAAGATTGCTGGATAATACTCCTTCACCGCTGCACAAGCACTTTTTTCTGCTTTTGATGTCTAAAATGAAATTTTAATTTACAAAACCAATTACATCAGAAATCCTATGCGGGATCTGGGAGTAACTGTTTACTCTACCAAGATTTCCTCACTTTTCCTCATAATGAAAGATCATTTAACATGGAGAAAGGAATGCCAACAATAAAAAAATGCTACAAAATATCTTCGGACGCTGGGGAAATGAAACTAGTCAATTAAAAAATTATACTATTATAGCAGTACTTTTTCACCACTAATAGCATCAAGTTATTTACTCAGCATCTTACCTCCTGAACTTCTCGAACTGCCTTGAAGTTGTTATCAATGATATCCAAGTACTTTTTTTCGACTTTCTTACAATTTTCATAAAAATATTTGTCCCATCGATCTGTAACAGTTCAAATGAACCGAAAATTATAAAAACAGATTGAAAACGAAATTCCAATAGCTATAAACGAACGTTGGAGAGCGTAAAATAGGAAGGTGGAGCATAGAATGGGCTTACATTTTCAAATTTATCTTGCTTTTAGCCCTGCTAAATGAATGAAAGCAACGAAGAAAAAACAGGAATTCTTTCTCTTCCAATACAACTGGCTGGTAAATAAAAAAGACTTTGTAAACAGATATCAAAGAAACTTTTTGTGGAACTTAACAAGTGGAAACTTACAGTTGAAAGCTCTGGAAAATATGTAGTAGTAGAACAGAAGGACTAAGATCTTCACTCTGTCGTGAGCAATCTCGAATAGCCCTTTCGTATGAAGAAATGCATAAAGCATCCCGAAGAATACATATGGCCCTAGAAAAACATAAATTTGGTCGATGTGGTATTACTAATGTTGGAAGAATCCACTTGAATAATACTAAGCAAAAGGCAAAAGAAAGCAGAACTATCTACTGATACAGACTCGCTAAGCAGACAAGGTTTGTCACCAGAATCAGAATATACCGCTTTGTAATGCAATGCCGAAATTATCAAGCTACAACAGGATTCAAGCACACATCAAATCTTCCTATTATGGAATACTGACCTGTCTACAGCATCTACAAACGAATTTCAAAAAAATTATTAGATTTACCAGATGTTCCTGTATATTTATGAAAATCACTCATGAATTTGTCTGGTACGATCATAAGCCGCAACTTTGGCGGATACATACGCTTCACAGGATACGGATAATTTACCTAAGAACAACGTCAATAAGCAGCAAAGTTCGTAAATATCAACATCGTGCGGTAATATGCATTATAAAATGTAACTTTGCTCATCAGGCTAACAGAAGATGAGCATTCAAGGAGTACAATTACAAAATCTCCAAATTAAATTTTCTCAAATACACACCAAATCACGCTCTGGGTATTCCTTGAAATCCTTTGGTATTTCAGGCAAAGGTGGTGGAACATACTGTTTTCCGATATCTCTCATAAAGGATATCGGGGCATGCAACTCATCCTTCAGCGGAATTCCTATAAAAACAATATAACTAGTTGTACCTACAGTACAATTTGATTTAAGAAGGCTAAAGCATCCACGAAATGAAGACATTTGAAAAGTGAATTATGACCTTCCATTTGAATGGAAGGTCATAATCCAGCAACTCATCATTAAACTGATGCATTACTAATCAGGCCTACCTTGGAAACGGCATTTCAATTTCGTAAAAAAACCAATTCTTTCTGGGACATCCTTTCGTCCTGCGACATCACTTTCCTGCTTTGTTGTACTGATCAGAACGTTAACTGCAAATGCAAAACTTCACAAAGTTTCATATCCACAACTTTAATTCCATATTCCTCCAACATTCTTCCTATTTAATCTAAAGCATTTCCATTCGAAGCATCACTTGGCTTAATATATAACAAATCATTGCCTCAACCAATCATCAAGACAGCACAGATCGTCAAATATCATTAAATCGAGATAAGAGGCAATAGAAAGTGATAACTGGAAAAAGATTTACTTGTATATGTTGGTTGACTACACCGCAAAATACAAGATTGCGCCCGAGTTCCAGCAGCCAATGCGTATCGATTCATCGCCATTACAAATCACAACACAATAAAACAAATCACTGCAACACATTCGAATGAATGATAACTTGTTCTTAGAGATAGTGATAAACGGCTAAAGTGGGTACGAAATAAAATGCAAGTAAAAATGATATATAGTACGATGAAAATAGGTCGTTACGAATGTTCTTAATTGTGTTCACATACGTTCGCTGATTACCACCAAAAGAGATTACGACTGCAATTTCATCACTCACGATAACATTAAGAAATACATCTGAGCTTATCTTCCACATATCGGTAAAACAGTAAAATTAATGACCAAATTTAACTTCTATCATTGAATAATTACGAGTGAATTTGCAAGAGACACTTTCCATGATTGATGAGACAAATAAATGAAAACTTATGAGTAGACAAATAGGCAATCATAAATCAATGAGAGGAGAACTAAAAAATTGAAAAATAAGTGGAAGGTTAGCCTTCTCAGAATAATGCACATTAATGTATAATACACGCTTTTCACTCAAAATAAAGGCTTTTTTCATTCTGTTCAGATGTACTAAAGTTGACGTGAAACGTCTATCATCACAAATGTAAAATGAACGTATGCGGACACAATCAAGAAATAAACATTGACCAAATTCGGCATTAAATATTCACTTAGCACAATAAATTTTACCATTCTGCTCAGTCAGTTCTTTCTACAGCGAGTTATGAATGGTGTCGTATTAACCTGTCAACAGAGTAACTTTACTCGGATAAGTAACCTCACTTATCCCGCAAAATTTAGACGAGTTTAGTAAATAACGATCAGGTAGCCACAACAATTTTACATATTAATTTAATTACTCTTTCCCGCAGTCCATACCATGGCATAATGATGAGCAAACAACGGCAGTTACGGGTAAAATGTCAGTGAATGGATGACTCATACCACGAAGCTACAAAGCATTTAGCTTTTATACAATCACGAATTGCCGCTTTACGCGCTGGATACGGCCATCCATAAAACACTGGGGGTCATTTACAAGACCACTTCTGCTGTTGGTTTTTGAATGGCGGTCAGTGGATATAATGTTGCTCAAAATGACATCAGTCACTTCGGGTCTGCAGAGGGAAGTTAAGAGTGCATAACGAAACTCCTCAGCGCGATCCTGAGAGAATAGCGTTAGGCGTCTGTGCGACCGTTTGCTCAGAAATAAACACAAGCGCTACATAGCATAAGGAACATGCGAAGAAATCACTCCGATCATTGTTTTTATGCAATCAATGGACCTTTGAGAATACCATTAATCCATTATATATATTTATAAGTGTTTACATCGGTGTGCGGTTATCTAAATGATTTTATGTTTGAGGGACGTTTGTTTCAGGAATGCTTCTGATATTTTTCAGAATGCGGGGCGACTTATCCAATCTTTACCAAGTGATCTTTTCAGTCCGTGTATTGGACTAAATGTAGTTATCGTGGCATTTTTGTTGGCGCACTATCGAGATTCTGATCTCGTTTAAAATGAGTCGTAAAACTGATATGCTTAATGCTTCATCACAGACCGGTTTGTTGCGCTCCTCTGTTCAGGTAACATCTCTAAGTTAATATGTGACTCTTCTTTGTGGATAAAGGAGATTACCATTCTTCTTCATTACCGCTAAGGTCAATGAAAAAGACAAGAAGTTACTATATTATAGGACTAGAAAGGATAATCTCAAAAACTTTAAATTAGCAATGTTTTGATCGTGGTAGTGGATGGTCTAATTGCCATTAACTGAGGATAACTCTAGAGAGTGAGTTTAAAGTAAAATGAGCTGTGATGGAGAGTTATGTCTTGTCCTAATTAATTATGAAATTGTTTACTTGTGTTATCTTCGCATGAACTCAAATTCCAGCTACCTGTTGGCCAAGATTGCACCTCGTCTGCTTTGTTATTCTCTTATTCATCAGCGTCAGATTTCATCTATGACTTAAGGAATCCGCTGACGAGAGATGAGGGCCGTTCCAAAGTTAGTCAGTTTTTTCAAATGTGGATATATCATTATAATGCCAAATATATTATTATACTCTAATATGAAAGCTCTTAATTTGGACTTCGGCAGATTTTAATTCCTTTCATTCAAATAAAAAGTACCAATCTTTTCTTTATTTTGATTCCAATAGCATTGCTATATCATTAACTGTTTTCATGGGAAGGGGAATATATTTCGCTGCGGTAATATTTTTTCTCTCTATTTCAAGTACTTGCTGAGCTCCGGAGAAGGGTTCATTAATTATTCAAATTTCATCAAATGGAAAACTTATTGCAGTTCGAAGATGTACTTATATCCAGATGGGAAGACGCCAAGAAGCGTAAGCTACTAAACTATGATCTAAACTGTATGTACAAACTGCTGGAGGGTGATTTCAACTTTTCCGTACAGGTCTGCCATCCTTCTTTTTTCCCAGTCACTGGGTCTGAGAATGCTAAAAATGCTTAAATCAGCCGGGTGAAAGCTTAAAATAATTCTGGAAAGACCAGATATCGTGTGATGCTTAAAGCGTTTACATTTTCAAACTGACAATGATCAGAAGAGCTTGTGATAGCTGTTATGTTTTTTTACTTAAGTTTCACTCACCTATCCTGTGGTATTTCCGAGTTTGCCGGTTTCGTTCGTGATCGGCATTCATTATAATAATTCACAAATCAATAATGGAGATGATTGGATTAGGTGCACACTTCAGAGCTTAGAAAATACTAAAATATTGTAAATACAGACATGATAACTTATAAAAATTCATCGATTCTTTAAATTGTTTAGGGAGTATTTCAAAATTTTACTCCGACGGCTAATAAATTGATTAATGAATACAGTCTCTGAAAAAGCTATGTTCCTCCTTTTTAGAAATTGCAGAATAACTTTAATGTTCTAGAAGTTTTTTTTTCGATTAAATACATCTACTTGTATTTATCTATTTTGAAGAAACTTGATTGCACGATTCTGCTTCCATAGCTAGCTATGCTAGCAGTAATACCATTACATAACCTGAGAAAATTTGAATGTAACTCAAAAAAACTCCAGTTGAGAATTTCAGACGAACATTAAATGTCTGTGTACCATCAACTAAAATTTCTCCCAATTCCTCTCGCTCCATTAAGCCGAATTAATTGCAGCTTTAATATAAAGGGTTTTCATATCTATAAGGTAAATAAGTTAAGTGAAAGAAAATCAATTTATAATCCTTTAGCTGAATGTTGAACGTGGAGAAAGGAGACGTAAGCCCATGCATTTCCGAGCCGTACGTGAACCGTTTAATAATCTGAGATGGAATTTTACAAAGCTCAAAGAGAATGAGGTCAGCTTCCGGTAAATATACAAGTTTTAAGACTAGTTATTTCCATCTTTCACACTTTTTCAAAGTATAATTCTTCCACGGTGTAATTCTTTTGTACTTGAGTGAACTCATCACTCATTCACATGTCATCTCATACCTACCTATTCCGTCGTCATCAGTCAGTCACAGCCCAATGATCGAAGTATGATTTTTTTTTAAAGATACTGTTATATCTGCAACGCAAAGACCATTTACCAAGCAGTGATCCATTGGACTTCCATGTTGTTGCAGTTAATGCTGCACCGCTCGCAAGAGGACATTCCTTGCTGTTACCATATATGAATCGCTGCGCACCACAGGTAAACTTCGCTTATCATAAGTGATGGCGGGGTTGTTGTTTCAAAAATAATTTTTGACCGCTATTTTTTGTTGAATTATGAGAAATGTACTTAGTTCGGAGAGAAACTGAAGGCCTCGTAGGACATTGTGCAATGGTACCTTTTCAGGTTTTTTTTATGAAGTGGCGTTATTTGTTCCCTTAACTCCCTAAATGAAACATTGTGCAGGTCCTGTCGGAAGTAGCAGTTCGCTTGGCAACCGACACAATGCTTTTAGCGAGAGACAGTTCCTTTCACGTGCTATTCAACAGCCTCTTGGCGTTGGCTTCCATTAATCATCTGCATCTTCATCTTTTAACCTGGCCATATGACTCTGATTTGACCAATCGTGTAAGCCTCTTTTATCATATTTTTCCTTATCTCTCTTCTGTCCTTTATTGTACTTTATTTTCTCTTCTTTCCAGTATCTGTGAAGTAGAATATAGTACTTCTTTTGTGTCTCACTATTATACTTTACCAGTCAATTGCCACAGTAAGGTTTGTTTTCTAATTCCGCACAGTTTTATCTTAAATAATACAAATCTATGTAACACAGAAGTGTTTAATAAGTACAGTAATAATATCATAACTAATTTGTAGAGGTGTGAACATCTATTCGATAATATATACATAGTCAAGCGTCCGACATGGTTTGCATATGCTATCGTGTTCCAGCTAACTGCCCCAGAGCAGTATGAAAAGTTCGTTATGTAAGTGCAACGCTCCATAAAAAGTAGAAAAATGAAAGGAATAAGCTACTTATTCGTTTCCATCCTCGACCAAATCGAGGATGATTATATACTACAGTATCATATGTGTAAATTTCCTATACTGCATTTTATCACTCACGAATGATTTAGTCGAGATTTTTGAGATTTAGAGCTCTTTGTTGATAGCGACAGAATGCGAGATATTGTGTTTAAAACACTCTATATGGTTTTAATTTCAGAAGTATAGCACGTTGTGTAGACTATCTAAGCACTCATGAAGTAGCGCATAATATATTTTTCTCGCGTGCACAACCACTAAGAACATCTGGCGCTATTCAGTCTGAAGACAGAACAAATGTACTTCCGCAACTTGTCACTGCATACATTTTCCCACGTGTTGCTGTTATTGGTTCGTTTTTTTGTTGTACCAATGGTGTATCAATAAGCTTCCTTTCATATTTCCTATTTTCCAAACTATTGCTTGTCTATTTCGCTTTTCTTTTTATGCCTTTTTTAAAAGTAAATAAATTTGAAGAACGCGGGGAAGGCAAAGGATATTTTCGTGGTACTTTCCACTGCTTCTCATCGTGATACTACGGTTCTGCTGAGAAATTTCAACTCTACCGTCCATGTCTTTACAATGAGATGTCAAGGATAATATTTTGAATGGTATCCACACAAATAAACGTTTTTGCAGGAGCCAAACCAGTGAAAAGTTTCAGCCCAGCATCTTTGGAGCTTTCGGGATGTTTGACTGCCTACAGTCAGTATTCATTTGCTTTATCAACAAATAGTGATATTCATGTTTCAAATTATAGATTCTTTTTGTTGACTTGTTTGGAGGACAAAATGTTGGAGTTAGTTCATGCTTGTGTATCTACAATATATGCTTCAAACATTTTGCAGCATATCAGTTTTTCGAAACAATCACTGAAGAGCGAGCACTGCGCATAATAGATGAAGAGGCAACATTGCCTGATTCACGATTTAATCAGATTTGTTCCGAACTAATACAAGTTCTGTCTGGAGAGAAGTTGGTCGAGCAAAGCACCACTGAAAAGGATGAATCGGCATGTTTTATTGCTATTACCAGGACTGTTACTCTGGATGATGTTGGTTACAGTGCCATTCCATTTATGAACTGGCTGAAATAAGTAAATAGTATGAGGAAAAAATAGATAAAAGGTTATGTATTTGATCATTTCACACTTTCTAGCTATCATCGCCAGAACAAGATGAATTACGCGATTCGTTCCAAACATTCGAAATGCATTCGCCAAAACACTTTTTCGCTGCAGGCAATCAACGATTTACATTTGAAGATAAAGTCAAACCAACTAATGTCAAGCCAGGAACTTCTCTTTGACTGCTGCTTCCAATTTTTATTTATAGTGTCTTTTATAATAACAGTTATATATATATTTGTTTATTATGAGAAAATGCAAAAAGCAAACTCCTTACCTGCCTGTGCCTTCCTCTAGTTTCTGCAGTAGTGCGCCAACATTGCCAAAAGCGTTATAGAGGCTGCTAGGATCTTTGTAGATACCGTGATATATTCATTATCCTTCATTTTCGCTTCGATATGTCACCATCACAAGAGTATGCAAGTTCAACAATATATTAAATAAATGCCGCACATTGTTAATACGAATCAAGTCTAAGGAAAAGAACGTGGTCGTTTGACTTGATTAAGCGTTAAATGACAGTAATATTGACACGTCTGAATTGGAGGAATAACTTGGAAAGTTGCTGTACTTTGGATGTATTGTCATTTGTGCAGTGCCGAGAGCAATAGACCTAAGCAGATTAATTTTAGAATGCACAATTTAAGACACGAAAAGCTTGTTATAATTTTTCATTTGTTTATTCAGTTTCAAAAATAAATCTTTTCTATGGTGCGAAAAGTACATTGTGCACTAAGGACTATCCGTTCTTTTTTCATTGACCTAGATCGCGCTTTCTGCTTTTTCTCCTCACATATTTTGCATTTATATACTATTGCCTCTTATTACATTATTAACTAGGCTTCATTGCCACCAGTGGTAGTAATTCTTAGCTTACACGCCGTTTTCTGTCTAAAGTGCCTTCTTTTACCTACATATATATTAAGTTTGATTTATTTCTATACCACCAATTTCTTTTTTTAATTTCGAAAACCAAGAACTAGCAGTTAGGTCCTTTCATTTCCTATGTGTATGTGTTCCTTTTTAGTATTACTTCCAGTTAAGGTATGAGAAGCTTAACTCTATATGTATGTAGTGTATCAACATTAGTCTGATGTCTGAATCGATGTTAATGATAAAATCGTGTGCTGGACGATAAATATCGAAAGTATCCACACCGTCATAAGCTGCAGCGACCAAATAAGGGAATACCATGACTGAAAACAGTTCTCTTAAACGATTCGTCATATGCGGACAGTACAACGGAAAAGCATGCTTTCAGGAAAGGATGGGTAGTAGTGAATATAAGTCTTCGCCACTGGGCCTCAACAAATGGTAAGTGTAAGTAACTATAGTATAATCAATTTTATGTATTCTGAAAACCATCTGTGATATGGGTGGAACCCGAACAGTTCAAATAGATCCATCGGGAGAAAAGATAAGCGATGAAATAACGACATTATAAGAGATTAATCAGTCACTCTACAAATTAATAATTGATATATCCTGGAGAATTTAACAAATCACAGCATTGTCTTCTTATTCTTATCGGCAATAGTAAGCAATTTAGTATTTCGTCCCAACATCAGATGTCGATATTGAATGTCTCGGAAACCTTCATCATTAAGCATAAAACGATGCTTATTGATTTTGATAGAACCTTTCACAAATGACCATAGTTGATGTGCAGCACTTTCCAGTATTCGAACATTGTGCCTTGTGAAAAGTAACTGAAATGAGTAAAGAAGTAATGAAAATTATAAATTCATTATATTCTTACAATTAATAAAGGGAAAAAGCTAGAATTTAACTGATGCCGTAATAAATTTTATATTTGAAGCTTGTAGTTGTATGGTACGCGTTATAGTGATAAGAAGGATCGTTACAGCTATCGTCATATTACTTTGCAGCCAACTATTTGGAGTCATCTAGTTCATTATGAGAAAGAACTACCCTGATTCTAGCACCATGTATGAATAAATTAGTAGAATAGCAGTACTGGAATTATCATTCATGCTATTTTGCATGCATTATTATTCAATAATAACTGTTCCTTGTTCATTTAAGCAGCAAAATCATTCTCCCAGTCAGAATCTAATTTGAGATTTGCTTTTCTTAAGCACTAACACGTAATATGTGCCAATAAACTGCGTGAGCCTGAAAACGGTAATATAACCGTAATCAAAACTTTCAAGTATCCTCTCTATAATTCAAACATATTGAAATGGTGACGTAACCACAAGAAAAGTATCATGTAAATTTGGAACAAAGCGACTTAAAAATTAACTAAGCAAATAATTAGACTTTCTAAATATATACAAATTTTGCTTATCATTGGAATTAGATGCACTGGATGTTGTGCATCTGATTCCAACTATTAGTAAAATAATGCAGGAAATGAAAAAAAGAAATTCAGAAAAACAACTGTAACCTGAGCTTTACAAAGGTCGTCTCAGATTCATATTTTATATTTTATCACCAATTGCGAATCATGATTGATTCCCGAGCGCTAATAAGAGTAGAAAGGATCAAGAAAGTTAGTGTTAGCAAGTTTTTCTCCCAATATTTTAATTGATTTTATCATTAATATTATGCAGCTCTTGTTCCTACAGCGTGATAGTAACCACCCATTCATAATAGAATGTTGGAATTTTATGTTCATGTTACCTTCTGTTTACAACTCCAATAAAAACGCGCTGCAGAAAGATTACTCCTAATAATAACGCAACGTAGAGAAATGAAGTGAGAAATCTTCAACTAACCTTTCGAGCAAATATGCTACAGTGGGAAATGACGGCGATAAATGTTTTCTGGTCTTTTTTATTGATATAAATACGACGAATTCGAATGGCATTGAGATGCCATGCCAGATATGCCACAAGCAAAAAAGAAAACAATGGAAGTACAACAAAAACGCCCATCTGCAAGTTACTACATTAAGCCGACATCAATAAATATGATAACACTAAGAAATAATAACACCTGTCGAACTATGTTAGTATCCTTGATCGCATCCCATAGTCGACCATCTTTCACATCAGCTACACAATTCTCTGATGTCAAAAAGCCGACGAAAGGTATCGCTATGGTAATGAGTAGGACAAAACGTGAAGCATAATTATCCCGGTAGATCATAAACCAATCATTTTCACTCATTCCATCCCATCGATGTAATCTTTCCAGTATTCGCTTTGTGAACCGTCTGTTAACTTCCTGTAAAAAGCTACAGGGATCTGATTGATAAGGACAAAATAAAGATGCTATTCGAATGCGGTTTCGTCAAATGGGTTTAGCAAGATGAGGAAGAGAAAACATGGAACGCATAGTTATGGAGGTATCAACCTGAAAAATAAACTTCACATATGCACTATAAGGAGAAAAACGCGTTTCACGTACTTCATGTAGGTTCCTGAGGCCTCTCCCACTCTTAGTGAAGACGGTATGCTCCCATCGGATGAAATGAACACGCGCTATCGGTGGAGCGAAACACAGGATCCGCTGGCACATCCACATATATCTGTATACAAATAATATGTTCCATCTGGAATATGTAATTTAATTTTAGCAAAACACCTACCGTATACTTCTTCATTCACACGTATACATACACACGTACATCAACACGTGTGGAAACCCATATAACACCCATTCTCACACATTTCCAATATAATGACTATTTATATGATACTGCAACACAAGTTTCGATGGGCCACCACGATCACCACGATTCACAACGATATGCCTATGACGAAAATTCTACTTCCGAAGTACTCTGTGGTCTGTTCAGAATTTTATCATTGGAGTGGACAGTCGTGATTAAAGGGTAATCTTGCGCGGATTTATGGTAATAATTCAGTAGAAGAGAAATTCATTACGAAAGAGCATTAATAGAAAGTGATATCATCTGTTCAGTTATGAGCAATTAATTCTGTCTCATTTTGCATACGCTTTTGGAAGGAGACCACAGTCGACAGGAATCCTTCCAACAATTTCTCTACTTATGGGATTGTATCGGATTAGGAGAGCACAATGCCATGCTTTTGCAATGAACTAAGGTAAAGTAAGCAAAATAGATGACTGATAAATTAAGAGGTGTTGTAAAGTAAGGCTCATTGTTTATAGTTGTATTCACCTCGAGCAGTCAGTCAATTATCACATTAACAATGATTATTAAAGTGGGTGTTGTGGAATGACATGGTTTATTTTACGACCATTTAGAGTTTTATGGGTTCCATGCAGTATAGGGAAGCAGTAGTTATGGTAGTTGGAAGTGATTCTCAACCGCTGCAATCCATCAATCAGTTCATTAGGATTTGAAGGAGCAATATTTGAGGAGTTCCGTATTCTAATGCCGCTCAAAATGGACGAATATTACCGTGGGCAGTTATTTGCGGTATCAGAGACGAGCAAAAATGAGACAGGAGGAGGCGATGGCGTTCAGGTTTTTCTGTTATTGTTGCTATGAGGTAAAGTGTAGTTAATAGGGCCTATATGACTCAGTTGATGAAGGAAGTATTTGTCTCATAGAGAAAGCCACTGGTATGAAATATCAAAAAGAAAATAGGCGACAAAGAGAAGGTAAAATTGACTAATAACCTCTTATATCGTTCACTGATCAGTGAAACAATATCGTTGTTATTTTAGAACTGCAAGTATCTCTCTTTTGCATCTCACACGATCAGGCAAATTTTGAAACCCCTGTAATGAGTTCCTTATCCTGAACCGAAAAGTCGGTCAGGTGAGTGATAATTAATTACAGGAGATAGAATGGAGAGCGGAGAATAGAAAGGAAAGATATTGCAATTTTTCAAATTTAAAGAGGATATGAATAGATAATTTTTTGCAGGTATTGGAAAATGACGATTTTACAAGTACAATGGTCCGTCCGGGACACTCTATCACCGGTATATACACACACAAAATCTATCGTACTAAGTCAAAATCGCCGTGGGCATTGCGTAAAATATTTCCGGACGCGGCATTCATATTACACGAAGAGTGCTGGAATGCATTCCCATATTGTAAAACAGTTATTAAGGTAGCCTGCTGACGTTTCCTTCCTCTTTCGTTAAGTAGCACTGATATAGGAAACCCATTACATAGAATATAATACACTTTCATCCTTGTGTTCAGTTTAGCATGCGCCATGTTCCATTTTTTCTACGATATTTTCTAATCATTCAATTGCAATTTTTTTTTGAATAAACGATGAAAATATGCATTGCCAGAATCCGGATTTTATGAAGGATGCTTTTTACATCAATATTGAATCGATGCATCTTCCAGATAAAGGCCATACCGAAAATGTAAGCATTTATGTCTGCAAAATTTTAATAGCATAAAACTCATTCCAAATAAGTTATGGGTCCTCCCATGAGGGAACAGTGCAAAGTTCAGTGTATTAAGTCAATTGATGTAAGAAAGCGATGATAAATTACTTCACGATATGAACACGTCTTTTTTCGAGGGGATAAGGATGTTTTCATAATGTGGAAGATAACTTGTGAAGCAAATCCGGTAATAATAATCTTTAGGAATACAATCAAAAAAGGTTGATTTTAAGGCATTGGATTTGAACCCGGCATTACTAAAGAAGCGAGAGGTAATGGTTATTGATATCTATGATGACAGCCTGTTGAAAAAAACGGTGAGCTACAGCACGGTCTCTTTTTGGTGTCATTCAGTAGCGGTAGTTCAATAAATGGTAGTGATAGATTCGATAATGTGGTACTCTGCCCGTTGCCGAAAAGAACGTTGCTGATTTCTATTTCTGTATGCATCTTACAGACAAGTAATGCAGGAAGTATTGCAGGATATCACACCTGAAACAGATGTACATGAATTTGAATCTAAGAAAACTGGCCGTGGAAAATTGCCGAAGGATTGGATTGAAACAACCAAACCGGTGATGTGTTGTTACAAAGTTTGCTTCTTCCTTCTCATCACATAGCACATTTAAAATGGCATTTTCAGTCAGTTTAGATCTAAATGATGTTGGGCTCGATCCATTGTTGCTTATGAAACCTACTGAATCTTTGCTAAGGAATAGCATACGAATGTTTGAATTATATTTGTGAGAGTTATCCGATACCTGTCATAGTTTCAAGGTAGTACAAGTATATTTTAAAATGTTCGGATTTCAAACAATGGTGGAGCACATTCTTCAGAGACAGTACCCACGAATATTTGCCAAATTCAATCGGTAAGTTACTTAGCAAAGTTTCTGTTGTAATTTTGAATGTATCAGAGGATGCTAAGACGCAATTTCACCATATATTTACTCAAATGCTATTATTTTCTCAGCACTTTTTTTGAAATAATTTTTACTTTATTGCCGTTGACCTGATCTGCCGACGAAGATTTCAAATTTGTGTAAGTGCATCAGGTTTCAGAAAGTACCTAACACTCTTCATCAAACCTTATTGCCGTAGTTAATCATGTCATTTAATCATATTAAGTAGCAAGTAGATTCATAGGAGGGTGAAAACAGGCTCAAAGAGAAGGAGAGGGTATTTAGGTCAAAGATTGACGACATTATTAACCTACTGATAGACGATACTGGACAATATGTTAAGTTCTTATAGGGAGCTATACTGCTGGACCGACCGATGGTACGATATGACGATTGAAGATATCAAGAAGATGGAGAAAGAAACGGTGGAGGAATTGAAAAAACAGATTGCGGAGCCGGTGAAACGTGGCATTGTGTGCGATGTGGATGACAAGGGAACATCTTAAATGAAGAGGAGAAGGAAAGAAAGAAAAAGACAATCTCGATTAAATCTATTCACCATTGCAACTTACGCTTCGAGTGATTCATTTCGGCAGTGAAAACCGGATAAATGACCGATGCACACAGCCATTCATCCTGCACGCTCAATAGATTTGCTAGTATAAGTAATAGTACTAAACGATATGCTAAAAACAAGCTATTGGTCTTTGGGACAGGTGAATCAGCACTATCCCTCTCGTGGAAAGCCTCTTTGCAGTCAGACTTGAAACTATTAATTTCTTTTTCCATTTTCAAGCGACAAATATATGCCTGTTACAGTAGAAGCATTAGATACCTTTGACATATGAATGGATTGCGTGTTCGCAATCAGAATCACACGTGAAAGTTATTCATTCACAATGGATGCTTAAAAATTTAGTACTATTTGCACATTGCACGCAGTGGCACACAGTAAACACAGCATATTCGTAAATATAAAAGAATCTCCCTTTATTCGTTATTTCGAGTATGAAAAATCGACTAAAATGTGCAAAAAGAAATGAATTTTTGGTTTAAAGTGATTATTTCAGAAGGTATTTTCCTGTGAAGGCTATGGTAGTCATATTTCAGAATCAAAATTCACTCGAGCGTGTTACTAAAAAATGGAGATGAAATACATACATCTTTGCTTTTAGCCTCACCATTACTGTTTTCAAAATCTCAACCAAAGATTTGTCTGAAACCAGTCAATCGACCATTTGACGCTTGAAGATCTGGAAAAATATTGTCGGAGTAAGCAATCGAACAAAGCCATTGATGTTTTAGATATTATTTTGGTGACTGAAATCCTTCTTATTGTTTTATATCATTTCTTTATTTATTACAAGTACTTTGTCAGATAGGATATGAAGTAGCAGAGTGACACAAGTCGGCGATCATCATAAGTTATTCATCATAAATTGCTCATTATAATTTACTCCCTTATCCGAAAAATGATAGTTCATCGGTGGAGCAGTTCTTTTTCAGTATCACAATTCTTCACAAAATGAGAATTAACGCGCTGGTAAAGTTTATCGCATTTTATAAACCTTTGAACAGTAGAGGATATGCATATGCGTGTATGATAGATAAGGATGATGATGTACATAATCATTATTCATTATTTCACAAATACCATATCAGTGCAAGAATCAGGTTGCATATTTAATCATATTACCGATCAGATCTGCTCGTATAAATATGGGTTGTATTTAAGCTATCTGCTCGGATTCCTAGTTCATTTCTGTTGATGATTTAATATTTACAAAACCGCTTCATTATTTGTTCCTTCATTGCTAAGAAGGCTTATCTGTAAATCGTTTGTTAATGTTTGAAATAATGTTAGTCAGTAAGATCTCTCTTCAATTTTGGTCGTTTTGATGAAGAGAAAGCTAAGTTAAAGTTGTCAAAATAGGCAATTATATTGGTACTTTCTGTATAATTTTGCGAAATGCGAGCGTTATCCCAACTTTTGAATGATTCTGCTTCCTTTACTTGGACTTTACAGCTATTTTACTGTATTATTTGTTGGTAATTCCAAAAAATCCGATTCTTCCTTTGCTGTGTTTCATTTTCATTTTAATATATTTCATTCGAACGATTAATGCGTGTGGTGGTAAAACGGATAAAAATAATTTTCTTTCAGGCAAACTAAAAGTAGTGTTATAAATTTTGCAAAGACATGGAAAAGAACTAGATCGTTTCAAAAGAGAAGAACATCTTATATTGACGTGGAAAGATAAGGATTATCCATTCGATGAAGAATGCTTAGAACAAATTATTATATACTACTCGCCATTTCGATATCCATAAATGGTACCCGCCGTGGGTTTCCAAATTGTCACTGATCTCCTCTCCTGGGATTTTGCTTTTTATTATTTGTTGTGTTATTCGTTATTTGTATTCTTTTTACCATTCCCTGCTATTAAAGATAACTATTTAATATTTAAAGTAATAATGGAGACAGAACTTTTTTAAATCTGAGCAATGCTCCTTAGAAATGGCAGATGGCAGCTACTTAGCAAAAATCATTGTAATGCCATCTGAGGGCAGAAAAAGAGATTCATCACTGGCTTGCCTGGCTTAGTTTAGAAGGCAAAAGTAATACTATTGCAAGTATGAGGCGCTCTTCTTGATAAAATTACATTATTCTTATGCTGAATATAGAAAGTTAATCAGTTTCGTTGTTGCCTTAAATCTTGATCTTACTTCTACTTCATAATTTCTTCCACCCTTCAACAAAAAAAATTGCTAAACAGAATGAACAGATTAATAAATGATTGAAATAGCACGAATTGGAGAAAATATTACATATTACATCTTCCTGATAAATTACGCCCTCATTGGGAAAGAGAATTCACGCATTCCTGATTGTTATTCTTCTATAGAACAATTTTTTGATCCACTCTTTGAGCCAATCAAATTTCTAATTCGAATGACCTAAATCTATTTTGACGTATATTGCACTTTTTCTTTGCAGATTCATTTTCAGAGCTTTTAAACTATTTTTCATCAAACACTTCTTACATCTGAAATATTTTCAGAATACTGGCAGTCTTTATAAGCAGTATTGATTACTTATTATATTCCTGAAAATCTTTCTACGATACTATGCAAATTGCAGCTATGAATGCTTTAATGTCTCCAATTTCAAAAATTTCTTCATTTTCGCTGCTACACTTACACTTCTGCAATGAATGGTGTAAGATCGAAAGAAATTAAACAATTCTCTTAAATTTATTTTTGCCACAAATAATATATCAATAAGCATACTACAAAAATGTCTGAGCGAGGAAGAAACAATCTATTACTCTGCAAGGGACAACATCAAACTATCCTCCTACGAGAGAGAAGTGAGCAATGAGATATGACCGATCTTCTTTTTGCATATTTTGCTTGCGTTGACGAAGTCACGTTGTTATTACAACAAACCTGCTTGTCACTGCCTTTACAGATTATTAATGTGTGTCAAAAATGATATTAGCAAAATTAGAAAAAGAAATAAATGGTCACAACTAGGCTTGTTATCCAAAATTGGTACAAGGTGACGTGATGTGATGTGATGTGATGTTTTCGTTATAAGCGGTCGTCCTGCTCAGATGTGGAACCGGTCACTGAGATATATTTGCTTTTCAATTCTCCTCCACATTGTGATCGGCCTAGCTGGAGTGGTATATCATAAACTCCCAATAGATTGATGTTTTCAAGCATTCGAATACTTAACGCCAATAAATTTTTGAGCATCAGCGAACCAATACAATAAAATTAAGAAAGGAATTGAATCTTTTCCTTTTAATAGTAAAGTGTGATAGGTAAGGAAAGATATACCTGCCCCTTCGCAATCTGTCGTTCACTTCTGGACATATCAATGATCGTCGAGTCAGTCATAAAGTGTTGTGGTGTGCCACTTTCTGATTTTGTATTACTCACTGAATTTGAAAGACGTGCATAAGAAACAGCTGCATTACGAAAGCTCCAAAACTTGCTTATCTCAAATACCTCTTGCGCCTACCATAATGCCGAAATTCAATTAAGTCCTTGTTTTATTCCTGAGGATAATCTTGTTTGCGAAAAGCGATGCGTTTTTTCAAAGTGTCTTGCAATTTCGACTGTCTCTTAATGAAAGTTTTTGCAATCTGTTTTCTCGACCAATAATTAACAAGAAGAAACCTCGATGTATCTCTCTTGAGCATTTCAGCTTTTCCGGTTCCTTTTTTTGGCGAGTAACATAACAGAATCGAGCAAGACAGAGGCATAAGCATAACATTGGTATTATTATAGCTATAAATTTTTGTTGAAAAAAACTTATCATATCAACTGGAAAAAAGCCTATCATCTTTATTTTCATCTGACGTTGAAAGACGACCTGACGACATAGGTTTGGAATTTTACTTGTAGCAAATTTACCCAGAACAAAGCACGTAATAATTATAATAGTTAAAGCATTGACGTATTCGCGCATATTTTTTGCAACCATCCGACTCTAGCGATCGTTCTCTATCAGATAAATAGAATTTTTCCCTATTATCGCTATGATTATTTTTATGAATTCAAATATGCAGATTTCGTTTCTTATAATAAACCGTTGTTTTCTATCAAGGAATGCAATTTACCACTATTAATAAATGAATATTTGCAAGGAGGGAAATGAGCAGCTGGATTTGTGAATTCCTCGAACAAAACGATTGCAATTGGAAATGTTATATAAGAATAATGTGAAGAAAAGTAGTTTAATCAGCCATAATTATTCTTTAAGTGCCTAGTACAGAGCTGGTAGTTAGTGGAGAAGCTGAGGATAGTCTACATCACCGGTTATGTCAGCAGTTAATTTATTTGAAGCCTTTAAAAAAGTGTTCCTTCTCTACAGTACGATGTATAAAGATGGTTTTTGTGAGAAAAATTAGATGGATATTTAAAATGTAATGTACAGATAGGAAATAGTTGCAATGCTGGTTCATTTTGAAGAAAAAATACTTTGAGGCGACCATTTCTAATTCAAAACAATTTTATTTAATATTTTTTACTGATTGTTTTTTAATAAAATTTAGTTTGGAAGTGATGAAATGTCTTTCATTTCATTCTGAGTAGTCCCCGTCCAACTCTTTTTTCATTCATCTCTTGGCTCATTTGGGTGACGATTATGATAATGGTTGGTTCTACTTACAATTGATGAGATGGAAAGTGCTGCTTATTGAAATGAATTGAATCTATGTCGTCGTCCTTGCCGTCAATTCATCGGCATCTGTCGTTTGCTCCCCTCTCGTTCCTTCCGCCTCTTCGGATATTAAGATGCTATTCACAGAGAGCAAATAGTAAATAATAGATTATCAAAATCACTTACATTATGTATTTACAGATTGAATTGAGGCCAGCAAGTAATTGTTTGAAGGCCTCAATTTACACAGCTAGCCCATATGCTCATGCTTGCAAATGGCCTAAGAAAAAGCCTTTCCTTGGCATCACTGGCCCATTCATTGCACATTATTACTATGCTTATTCGATTGTGTTATGCAAATTAGCCCCAGCCAGGCGAAGATGTCTCTTTCACCATCATAGTACACTTCATAACCAATAATTCAGTGTCGCTCTGAAAAACCTGAATAAATAAATAGGAGACGACGTAAGCAAAGTACCGCAGAGAAGAAATAGTTATACTTGCGTGCAGGCTATCCTACCCGATAATAACGTCCGCAATTTCTTTTATTTCTTTGGGAAAAGGTTATTACTAATAAGACAATCAGAACCATTCCCTTTTCATTAGAATCCTAATGAAAACATTTAGTACTGTTCTTTTTCTTATTTTGAATAGTTTTTTGATCTGAATTCTGAAATTCATGTTTATCATAAGAACACATAAATCAGTCTGTCTTAGAGCCTTTCACACTACATCTATTCTTCTAATTGAAAACATTTGCTCCTGAAAATTATAATAATCATATAGATTTTAGGAGATGTTTGGAAGTTTGCGCTTGTATATTTTGGCCTTATATAATGGAATTCCAAAGAGGCTCCCTCTATAACTTTTTAATAGAGCCTGGGGGCTAGCTTAGCGAGAGCCTATCTAGGCCTAATTCGTTCTTTCTTGTTACTCATCTATCCTAGCTTATGAAAGAGTTGTTGATGGGCCAATCTCGCACGGAAATCAATCTGTATACATATTTGTATTGTTTGGCTGACTGAGCTATTTAAGGATTCGCATGACAAGTAGGAGAGTAGAGAGGCTTCTTAGATTTGCGGTGTATGGATACGGTATGAATATGTAAGTAAATATTATTCTGCAGGATTGTGGGTGTCAGTTTAATTGTGTTTGCATGTCTGTTTCTATCTGTTTCCTTTCTGAGGAATGATCAACATTGAGGCTGAAGAACTAGGTTGCTTATATACTTGGCCTTATCCAATAGCTTACTACTCGGATATTGCACAAAATGTCTTATTAGAAAGAAACACATTCACCGATTCCGATCACAATCCATTCACATCAATCTTCTCATTACTTCTCTTTCATTTTGGATCTAACTTCATCACTCTCAAATTTACCTGTAGATAAATTACTATTCAACTGTTTGTTTTATTACTTCCGTACGCAAAGAAATGTATGTGACATGTCTCATCACTCATTCCATTTGAGTGAATCTCAATTCTTTTGACTAGTGGTAGAAAGCTGTAATGAAGATATCAAATGAAAAAATTAATATGGAAAAATAATTCAGTGGAAAGAATAAAGGATCGTTTGTAAACAATACCACGACACATTATCATCAGATTATACAATATTGTGATTTATAAAGACAGAAATAATACCTTGCAAACAAAAACAGAATGGGAATGGATGTGGACTAAATAGGAGCTTCCATATAATCGAAAGTAATAGTATCGAGCGAAGGTACCCACAGAGAGCATATAGCTTATGGTATCGGCCTCATCTTGGATAGCCGATGAGAAAACTTTTAGCAAAGAATTCAACTTGCAGGTGTAAGATTTTCTTCTTTTCTTTCCCAGATCAAGATAAATTTCCCAGCGAACAGTAAAGCGTAAAGTTGTACGAATATTGTAAACCACAGTGACACCCCACAGTGAAACTCTTACATGATCTCCTGCAGGGGTCTTGAGATACGGTAAAGTGGTTTGCTAGGATTTTAAGTCATTCAATTTTTAAAATGAACAAGCCTTTCAGTTATAAAAAGTTCATAAAAGTGGAAAAGTTCTTAATAAAACGATAGGAAGTGAATGAATAGCTAAAGACTTCTCAATTGCATTAGCGCCAATTACTCCCAATGCATTCAAAGAGGAAATATTAGTATGAAGTGGAAAAACAAGAAGCGATTCGTTCTCTAATCATTTACTTCTGATAGATGGTCGATTCCTCAAGCAACTGTCATCACCGGTATCCATTTTACTGTAGTCATTAGAGATGGCGATACATGGTATAGGATTAAAGAACTATTAGAAATGTTTCAGCATGATTGTACTTTATTCTGAAGTAGTATATATAAGCGGTATATCTTGCGGTTGTTCCTCTCTTCCTTTCTTTTCATTTACTTGACGAAAAACTCTGCAAGCAATGCTTCCCATTTATTATTTTTTATAAAAACCACAGAATCGGCAAGTTAAGAAAAATCGGCAAATGAATTATTGATTATAGGTAATAGCTCTTTCAGCTGCTCTATTACATATGACAAAGAAGAAAACGAGAGAATAGGTTTGAACTTTCGAGTGACATTCCCTGCTTAACATTTTTAGGTTTTTATCTTTCCTATCTGATTTCCAGCAAAGCAGTTTTCAAAAAATCTGCATATATGGTCTATTCAAAATTAACCTTGATAGCAAAGCATCTATCAACTGATCTCTATAAATTATGTAAATTGTAAAACTTCGATTATTGTCACAGTTGCAGCAACCACAGATAGGATTAATCCGTTATCAATGACCAAATAATAGTTATCTGAGTAGCGATTAACTTCTCCCAACAAAACGATCATATTACCGCAAAAACGGATTCCCAAAGAGTGATTATCGGACTTCCGGTATGGGAGCACATGAAAAATACACGGATTTCTGCATTTACTTGCATCCAAAGGTTTCAAATTTCTTTTACGTAACAAGCTATAATTATCAGGTTTATGAGGTAATCAAGAACAGTTGAATTTCTCGATACTGGAAGCAACCACAGTTGCCTACTTTTTCTACAGAAGTATTTTTGAATGAACTTCCCAATTGTATCTTCTTTTTCGCATTTTATGAAAAAACATACACTTGCGGAAGCAACTGATAAATCTCATTTATTATCGATGGGATCAAATCACAAATTTTAACGGGCAGCTGCTTCGGAAAAGGAAGCAGAAGTTGACAGTATTGACAGTGGACAGATGATGATCCTGCCCGTTTGTTTGATTTTCAGCTTACAGCTACTAACACCAGTGCTTTAGGTGTGTATTGACATTTTTCTCAACTTATTGCATCCTCCCCGCTTCCATTTCAATAATTACCTGTTCAGTGACCTCTCGTCTCTTGCTAGTTGGCTATTGCAATATACTACTTCCTGAAGTACCTAAGCATTTCCCCTATTTCATCCTTGCTCATCTCCATAGTTGATAACGTTCTCGCTATTTTCTTTCACACTTTATTGCACCAGAAAAGATGCATGCTCATAATAACAGATGATCCTACACACCTTTCCTAATCTATTTCGAAACTTCTACGCCACCATGTTATCTCGTAATTTTTCTCAAATCACAACTAATTGCTACCGAAATTATTCCTGAAAAGAAAAGGGCGGTACTATATATTAACATCCAATCTTTTTTCGTTTGAAATTTTAACACTTTAAGTATTTTATCAATTAAATGAGAAGTAGAACTGTCTTTCTATTAATCATTAAAATTAACATCTACCAGTAATTTCAATACCATTTGTCAGGAAATGATCAGTGTATATTGATTACTATGTTATCATTGGCCAACCGTTATCATAATATAATGGAGTAAACTTAGCAGTCAGTGTTTATGTTACATGGATATTAGCTAAGCATTGGGAGAAGAGAGAATAATCCCGTGGAAGTGCTCTTCACAAACGCTTCCCTCCTAAGCATTGTTATTGTTCCCTCCAATCATCTACCAACGGGTGGGATTAGTGGATTTTAACATTATACTTAAGAGAGCAGTCGTGATAAGAACAATGATAAAGGCGATAATCGAAGGCTAATAATAGGCTTCTAGGTGGCCATTTCAATTAGAGGCATGATTTCGAATGGAATGCAAACTCTATAAGTGGTCTTTTCTATCACATCTTGTCTCTTCCCGTCCCATTTTCTTAACATGAATGCCGACCAATGATTCTCGGCGGAATTTCTTCAACTTGAAATGGTTATTCATGAATCCGCTTAATTTTTCACGATTCATGAGTGCTGCATAATTGTTGAAATAGTAAAGATAGAAGAAGAGAGAGAGAGAAAAAAAGATATTACGAAAATGGCATAAT